TAGTCTAGCATTATTGGCATCAATTATGGGACTAGTATATGCTTTGCAGGTGGGATTTGTACTTGCCTTATTCAGAAAAGATCCTTAGAAGTGAATGGAATCATCACATTGTCATTTGTTAAACCCCGGCTTTTGCAGGTCCTATGCAACCCATTTGATGGGCGACAAACGACGGACGACGGAAAATGGCATGTTTGGAACTGGTAAATGGCAGAATTGGGGTACAACAAAAAGCAAAATGCGACGGACGACGTGCGACGGCAGATATGGAATTCCACACGATAGGACTCACCAAAATGCATTGTCTGCTACTGCAAATAAACATTAGCACAATGTGATTTTCCAACTACAGAAAAAAAACATCCCTGAAAGTTAAATTGTCTGGCATGAACTGCTTAAATGGAGTCGACAATGCCCAGCAGATTCCATCATGGCTGCCTCTCTGAGGTAAAGGCCAGTCACTGATGACATGTACCTGCCAACCCAGTCCACTGCTAGCCCTTGTCCACTTCCCAAGGCATAGGGTACGATCACCTCTGCCTCAGTGCTGTTAAAGAACATGCGGTAGATCTTATCGGTGCCCGTGTCGAGGTAGTACAGCCGGTTCTCCTTCAGGTCGTAGTCCAGAGCAATGGCATTGAACAGACCGTCCTTGATTAGGTCATACTGCTGGCCATCCAGGCTCAACTTGCGGATGTAGTACCGGTTGCTGAAGATCAGGGAAGCATCCCCACCTTTGTAGGCACACAATAAAGACAACATTTCAGTGCCTTGAAATCTCGTGTTAAATGTTACATGGGCTCATGCCAACCTTGCAGGTAACAACTGGCAAAAAGATATATTTTGGGATTTTCTTGCCCTTGTGTATCACACATTTTTTACGTTTTTACATGCTCTTTTGGCCTTCCTTTCCGATAATTTTGGTTATCTCTACATTTGAATGACAGGTGCCTGAGGCTGAAACACTGGGTCGCAAGCCTGGAAGGACTGAAGCTCACTTCCTTCGATTGGGACATAACACCATGATGCAACTTGAGCCTGACCAACCTTGGGTGTGCTTGCACGTTCTCCCATCCCTCTCCTCATCGTAACCTTCAGCGCACTTGCAGAAGTAAGATCCGCGGGTGTTCTCGCACAACTGGCTGCAAACCCCTGGAATCTCGTTGCACTCATTGTTATCTGAAGCACAAAATAAACTGGTTTTTTTCAAAATCCTCATCAAACAAGCTGTTGAAACAGCATTCTTGATATCTTGCTGATGTTGCCATTCCCAAGTGGTTTTAGGATGTTTTAGATTCACAAGTAAAACAGGAGTCTGTTTGGGTCGTAACTTCAATGGTAGTGTTTTTCTTTGTTGAGAGGTAATCTTTGAGCAAAATCAGCAAATTCTTAACTAGTACAGAAATCTCCCTGGAGTGCAAAGTGGTTGAAACTATATCACAGTAGTACACTGTAGAACACTCCATTGACAAGAAATAACACAACCTCTCAAACAGTTTATAAGAATATGTACTTTGAAGAGTCACACTTTAATTTGAAGAATGTCCTCTTATTTTCTGAGGCATGGATAAGAAATGGCAGTCAGGTTGGAGGAGTGGCTCTTTCCTCACCTTTCACCTCTGCCGCCTGGGTTCGACCCCTGACTCGGTCCACATCTGGACAATGCTTTCATTCCCTACCTGATTCTGTGGGATTTTAATTACCCCAAATATTCCTCTGGGATTTTCCTCCCACCTCTAAAACTGTATCTGCTTCTCACTGTCTCCTCTCTGCAGGCTTCTTCATCAGACTTAAGACCTATAGTGCCTAGGGCACTTTTTAGGAATCCTTAGTTTCACTGCTGGAAATACTTAATGATAAAAATAGTAAGAAATCTCCTTGAGGTCCATTTAATTCCTCGGAGCAATCCCTCGTGAAGATGAGCCAACAACTTGACTGTAACAGGATTTGTAACCTTTAACTTCAAGCACAATGAACCAGTGCTATACTAACTGGGCTACAAAGCCCCCTGTTCCTTTCATTTTTGCTCTTGACTTGAGAGTGAATGCCGACTACCACTGACAATAACAAATTGGACAGATTTTAATGATCCACTTTGTTGTGCAAATCCTTCCGCAAATATTGAATCCACATGACCAAATCGTTCCTACTTCACACATAATATTCTGTTCCCAAACTCATTGATATTCCAACCCCACTTCTTTTTGTTCGACATCAACAACTGTCTTTAAATCGGAATGACAGTTTGCAACAGCCACACATTCTGGCATTTTATAATTGACTGCACTACGTGAAATTAGAGACCAGATGATTCAGAATGAAACTCACTCTAACTTTGTCTTGTAACAGTTTGGAAAGAACTACTCTCAGTGGACACTAAAGTGCAATTTCAATCTATTTGAGTAAGTCAATCTCACACAAATTGGTTTTAAACTTAGTTTCAGTTGGTGGTAGTGAACTGTCACTCCAATAGGCTCTGTTCTTTTTACATCACAACGGTGTTTTTCCTACAAATGGCTGCTAAAACTATGGCTGGATACTGCATTACAAAAGGAAAAGAATAACGTTCAAAGTGTCCCACACAGCTCGCAAAACACCAGATATCAAGACACATATTACTGAATACCACATGAATATACAATCCTCTTTAATTTAATAAGACGAACATTTTGAGCCAGATTTTGGCCTAACTCACAAAATTGTTGGCAAAATGAGGGGGGGGGAGATCTCTAGAATGAATTTTTACTGTTATGAATTTAAAGAGAGGTGTGTTGAAAACAATCACGAGTGAAATGACAAGACAGCCAAGTAGCAAGACCTATGAAATGATAACAGAATACCTTCGTCACTGTACTAACTTTAGACAGGAAGTCTCGCAATTGTGATTGTGATAGCTGTGCTGATGAAGTCCTGACTGTACTACTAAGCGTGATCGCTCAAGTCAAGGTTTCTCACCTCGGCATGTCTTGCCGTTAGCTTCCAGTGTGTAGCCGGCCTGGCAGGAGCAGAAGTAGCCAGTGCGTGTGTCATTGCAGTAATGTTCGCACTGGTTGGCTTCCAAATTATCACACTCATTGATATCTGCAGGGTTAAACAAGGGTCAGTAGCAGGTTATGTATCTGTTTCGTATTTTCATCTTTGGAATTTCAGGTTGCCCTACAAACGATCAGAGAAAGAGAGATGGTACATTTGGTAGTGAGTGATTCCTCAAAATGCGGTATGTTCACATGGACACCAGGCATCCAGTGCAAATGGTGCCCGAGTGTTGCCCTTGCCTCTCTCTGTGTGTCAACTGTGAGGGGGTTGGTGTTTTGTGAGCTTAAAGGCTTGGAATGGAGTGGCCAAGAGAGGACTTGCCAATGTAATGATCACAATGATGTCATGCTAGTTCATAAATGGAAACAATGCTTCAATCTTCTGGTTATCATTAACTAACTGGCTTAAAATGCTTGGACTTTATATTGCATTTGCATGGAGGGGAGCTTTTTTCCCCTTAACCACTTGCTGCTGGGTGTAATTTGAAGTTGCATGATGTAAAACTGGGTGATTTTAAAGATTTTCCATTTTCAAAGTCCTTCAAAAAATCATAACTTCATTTACTGGTCATTGACAACCACAAGAATAACTTCCTGGTGGCTACTCTAATTTGACAGACAACATCTATTGACCCCTGAGTACTTCAGCCAGGCCTGCCGCCTTTGTGCGGTGTTACGTAATTTTCTTTTGTTCCCGAAACTGGCATAGTGCGCTACTGGCATCTTTTCAACAGGGGCCAGATTATCGTGCAGCAGTATTGTATTGCTCATCACTGGAGCGCTTTTGTCCCTGGTGGTAATCCGCTCAAGCTGAATGCCACAACAGTGGTATAATCTCTCAAAACAATGACGGATTTCTTCCACTGTTGACAACTAAAAAATGTTGGCAATTCCCAGGAGCTCGGTCTTTTGTTCCAACTATGGTCTTTTATTACAAGGCCCAGCTCTTTTGTCAGATTTCAGGCTCCCCGACTGTGCGTATAAAGAAAACATACTTAAAACAGGGCTCCCCGGCAGCATATGCTTAATATTTACCACAGTGCATTTCATCGGACATGTCCGTGCAGTCATTTGTCTTGTCGCACACAAGACTATCGAGGATGCAGTTGCCATTCAAACATTCGAAATATCCATCCTGGCACGGGGGTGGTGTAGCTGTTGGGGAAGAGGCCAAAGCACATGTTGATTGTGGTGTTAAAATGGAGCATCAAAGCAACCAACTAAAGCAGAAACGACCAAATGAGTGAAAAAAACGATGTCACTTTTATCACAAACTAATGTAACATGTAACAGTCATTTGGGTCTCACAAACTGACATATGGTTCTGTGCTTGCCTTGTAAACAGTGACAAGTCATACAATAATTGTGGTTTTCACAAACTGACATGCTTGCATGTAACCGATATACCTTTTGGGGAAAAAATCTTTAATGAATGGCTTGACATGAATTTACCACATCCATAATACCTGTTTACAAAGCAAATGCAATGCTCAGTCAGGTATGGTTCCTGAAAACCAAAACTATGCGATTCTGGATTTTATTGTCCACACATTCTGGTATAATGATATTCATGGTTAGTACACAGTAATGCTGAAAAAGTTATGATTTCACTGTTTTGTGATGTCCTCTAATTCGACACATTAAACCCAACTACATCCTTGATCAAGAACAATTTGGGAAAGAAACAAGTCCGACCCTTCTTACTCCAATCACACAAACTGCAATGTAAAAATTGAATGGGTGCACTGGAATAACATATGGGATGGAAAAACCACTGAGAAGCTCTAACTGAATCTGCAAACTGGCACTAAATTGGTGCTTGGTTGAGGAAACTTACCACAGTTCTGTTCGTCGGAGTAATCTCGACAGTCATTGTCGGTGTCGCATTGCCAGGAGGCTGGGATGCATCGACCGTTCCTGCACGTAAACTCAGAGGAACTGCACGTTCTGTAGTCTGCAACCAAAATAAAACAAAAAAATTACCCACAATGCCATCGGGGTTACTGTGCACAGTGCCCTCGCTTGATTAGGTACTTCTTATTACATCAATCTGTACTGAAGATAAAACTACACTAAAATGGGGCAGGGGGTAGTTCACAGCCATGTCCATAATCTGAAAACGGGTGGTTGCTGGAAGCACAAAAAAGCCCCAAAAAGCCCCCTCCCAAAAAAACCCTGAAACCCAGGAAAATTGTTTGAGCTTACCACAATGGCCGCCCTCGTCACTTTGATCACCGCAATCATTGTCATGATCACAGAACCAGGACTGTGGAATGCACAGTCCATTGTCACAGGCAAATTGGTCAACATCACAAGTGGTTCTTGCTGAGAACAGAGGAAGCAGAAGACATCCTGATGGTTCTTGTGTTGGGGAAAACCTTAATGCTAAACATGCCATGCTCACAACTAGTGGTCCAAATATTCAGGGTGTGCATGAGAGCCATTAGTCCGGTGCTTTTGTTCCACAGCCCTGAATACACATTAGTAGACCATTGTGCTATTCCAGTGACAAAAGCAGTTACCAAAAAGATGGCTGTCAGGTACAACCTCTATTGTTATGTTGGGCAGCCACAAGATTCTAACAGCAATGGTGCTTCAAATGAGGTGAAGTGCAAAATGTAGAAACATAGGGACCTTTTCTATTTGGGCAATTTAACTTTGTTTGAATGACTAAGAGTATTTAAAAAAATTGGATTCACAGTCATCTTTCTAAGTGTCTTTATGCTCATCACCTTCTTGCAACACAAAAATAAAAGTTGAGAAAAACTGCCAATGACTAAAGCAGAAAAATGTGTCTAGTTAGATTACGAAAACACCCCTTAGCTTGGGCAAAATTAAGGTTATAGAGAAAATTTTCCCATGTGTAACGTGTCAAAATAAAAAAATATGTAAACTGCACACACGCTGAGGGATAAATAAGCCACACGTGAGAATGAGGCTTGTGTTGATGATGAAGATGAGAGACTTTAATTCAATGCTGTCATTCTTACAAAAAGATTTGTACAAATGTACATATATATATTTGTAAAGTACACGTAGTATACTTAATAGATATATGTACATGGTGAATTGGTTTTTGAGCACATTTTAATGGGCTCTGGGTGCAATAAGCGAGATACCTTTGTACCCCAACCTATGGATTGACAGAAAACAAGGTACTGCCATAGATGAGGGGCAGACAAGACATAAACAGGTCAATGATGGTGCAATGCCGCCACTTACTGCAGTTGTCTTCATCGTCTGCATGCTCACAGTCACTCAGTCCGTCACACAGCCACTGCATGGGGATGCAGCGGTTGCGATTGGGCCGGTTCTGTCGGCAGGTGTAGAAGTCTTCGGAGCACTGGTGTTCATCTGCAAAGCAATTAGAGCTGTGGCAATTATTCCAATATTTGGATATTTGATCGATCGCAAGTAGTCCAATATGATATTCAATATCCAATACTGGAGGATGAGAACCAACAAAGTAAAATGGGAAAAACAAATTGATTATTTAGTTACAAAACTGCATTCTGGAACCACATTCTGAGGTGTTATGAGTGAATTTAAAGGAGCTGAACAAATTATGCCCACCCACAAGGCCAAAGTTACATTTCCCTGAAGTTTTTTCTTTTGTGTAATAATGTGTATATTATGTTTCTGCTTTTTGTGGGAATTTAGTACTTCCAAATATCGGAAATATTCCATGGAATGGAAAATTGTTTATTTAAACATTCCATTATTCAAACTCACTAAACCTCATATGTAACATCATTCAGATAGGAAATGACCAGCATTTGGACTGCTTGGTGATTCCCTATCTGAATGGTATTGCATTTTGAATAAGTGAATATTCAGCTATTGAGGACTTGCAGAAAATATTTTGGGGCAAAAAACATCGCTTTTTTAAAAAGGCAGATAAGTCAACTGATGCTTTACCTACTGACTAAAGACAATCATGTGTACAGTATCTACAAAATTTTTCTTGTAACAACCAATACATCTAGAAGAAGTATAAATAATTTCTATAATATTATTTGTGGTTCGTGATTTGTGTCAACAGGTAAACTGCTTTATCAATTTATGATTTTGAAGAAAGTTGCAAGATACAAATTATAAAAGGATAGCTTGTTTTGGGCAAAGGAGATTAACACTTACTTTGCTCCCAAAGCTAAGGAGATCACTTGGAATGTTCTATTCGAATAGAAACAAGTAGAAAAGAAATCCAAACCCAACCCTCTCTCCTAAGATAAGACTCCTGAAAAGCTTCGGAAGCAAAATCTTTTCAGGTCGAGTCAGCCTAACGCTACAATGAGAATCATTCACAAGAGACAACTGGTGCATACCAGCAAAGTAGAACACTCATGCATTCAATTTACTTAGGCTCTAGGAGGACACTGAAACCTTACCCATCTCTTAGCAAGCATGTTTAAGGGGCCTTTCCAATGACAAGCTTTCAGCGTGTGTCGTTGTCATTATGCCCAAGTCATGGAGAGCGAGTGTCCATTTACATGTACGTGAGGGAAATGCAGTAAACGGATGTACATGTATACAGAAAAGACATATTCAGTGTACAGGTATATGGAAAGACGCAGTTACAAAATTCTAATTTCCATAAAACCGTTGCTTTCAATGAAAGCCAACTGTCAGCTTCATTTGAACCCTCTTCCACTGTCCCCTCCCCTTTCCACACCAACCCAACCAAGCCCTATCCCCAACCCCTCTCCATTCATACCGCAGTTGTGGCGTTCGTCTTCGTCCGACCCATCTCCACAGTCATTGTCTGAGTCGCAGATCCAAGTACTGTGGATGCAGTTCTTATTGTCGCAGGTAAAATAGTTGGCTGCACAAGTGAAATCCACAGAGTCTGTTGGAACAAAACATTTCTGAATTCAAAAAGAGGAGACTGCTTGACAGGGGGCAGAGACAGAGTAAGTCCTGAAATACAGGGCAGTTGGCACTGTGCCCGAGTAATAGATAAGGACCGTAAGACCCATCGTTATGTTGAATACATCTATACAATGGCTGAGGATCAAAATTAACATCAAAGACTATTTAGCCTATGCATACATTCAAATGTACACAGCTTTAATAAGCAGGTGTAAATGTGAAGTCTTGTGACTATTTTTGCAAAGCTTGTAGGGCCTAGGAAGTACTGGCGCCTCAGGGCCTACAAACTGGGTTCTGTATATGGGACATGCGTGCTGCATAATTCTGCCTTCCACTCGGGATGGCTACCAGTACTTACTACAATAAGCTCCCTCATCAGAGCCATCCAGACAGTCTAAATCATCATCGCACAGCCACAGGCCCGAGATGCACTGGCCTGAGTCACACCTATGACCATTTTCCGTGCAGTCTTGTTGCTCTGTCAGTATCAACAATAATTGATATTTGCATTTCACATTATACTGTCTTGGACCATCAATGTGTAAACATCCCAAACTTCAGGGTTTTTCAAGGCATTTGCTGTTGATTACATCACACAAGCAGCATAAAGCCAGGGTTTGGCAAAACAGAAAATGGGTGGACATCCAAACAGATCTACTTAAGTGAACATTTAAAGTGTTTCAAGCCCGTTCTTAACCACTTGCCGCCAGGGAGCCCTGTTTTGGGCACGTATTCTTTATACATAGCCGGGGTCTGTGAAATTGGACAAAGGGAACTGGATCTTGTAACAAAAGCCCTTATTCGTAACAAAAGACCAGGCTGCTGGGAATTACCAACATTTTTCACTGTCAATAGTGGAGAAAATCCAGAATTTTTTGAAACAGTTTACCATTGTTTGGGGCATTCAGTGCAAGCGGATTACCACCAGAGACAAAAGTGTTCCACTATCGAAGCGATGAGCCACACAGTACCCCTGCGTGCTAATCTGGCCCCTATTGAAAAGAAGTCAGCAGCACACTGTGCCAGTTTCGAAAACAAAAGAAAGTTGCGTAACACCGCGCATTCTGGGCTCTTTTTAACAAGGTGGCAGGCCTGGCTGAAATACTCCAGCGTCAATAGATGTTGTCTGTCAGATCAGAGTAGAAACCAGACAGTCCTTCGTGTGGGTGTAAGTGTTAGTGTGAAGAGAGGAGATTTATGACAATTTTCAACCATGATGCATGATAGAGGGATGCACTCAAACCATTTTTCAATGGTTCCTTGCCATGTTGAAGAAACAGTTGCCGAGTACCAGCTGCAAGGGTTCTATAAATGAAATCCCAGCTCAATTTTTTTTGTTTGCACGCATGAACAGATCTTAACTTACGGCAATAGAGCGGGTTTTCATCAGAATTATCTAAGCAGTCGTTATCCCCGTCACAGCGCCAGTACGGATGAATACATATGTGGTTATTGGGGCAACTTACAAAGCCAGGCCTGCAGGTGACCTCAGCTGAAAAAAGAAAGAAAATGGGGGATGGGGTTAATCACACTCTTCTGATATTGTTTAATACATGAGAAATTGGCAATTTTAATGAATGAACTGTCACCAATTTCACCCTTGTGTACACAATACAACAATTAATTTTGGAAAACATGACTTAACTGTGGCCAATTTGTGACTTGTTGGTTCCTTTTTGTTGTTTACTGCATGTGTAAAAAAGTGTCATGTCATTATGTATCAGGTCCATTGGATGGCACAAAACACAAAAAATTGACCGGCCAACATTCGTCAAACATCTGTGTATTGCAATTGGCCTCCACTTTAATAACAAACAGGCACAAGAGTGGGTACAAGAAAATAAAGAGCAAAGCCAGCAATATGAACAACAAATTTGGTGGGAGACACTGAACAGGGTAACCTCGTGCATACTTACGGCAGTTTCGTTCATCCGTGTGATTGCCATCCCGACAGTCGTCATACTCGTCACACAGATAGCTCAGCGGGATGCAGCGGGCATTGGGGCAAGTGTACTCGTCAACCCCACATGTCGGGAAGGCTGCAGAGACAACAAACGGTCCAGGAAAAGTGACCAAAAAAAAAAAGCAATGAGAACCACTCACACTACATATAGGTACCCCACCAAGGGGATACCAAAGAGGGCAATTATAAGGCTGTCTACACTGAATAAGGATGAGTTTAAGAATAGCCAGTCTGTGTTCTTGGGGCCTGATTTTCAGAAACATGCTCATGTAATGAATTCGGACATGACTGTTTTCCACAGGAAACCTGCAACCTTGCACAGCAGAGAATTATTTGTTTCTGTATCTGTACAGTTAGTGGTTTTCCTTTTGCATGAGGGCTTAGACATGTGGATACTAAACTTGTCTTTCATCATTTGCATGCCTGCACTGACGTATTTAAATTCTCCGTCCCTTGCCATTGCGCACGTACATGTACTTGGAGCACCTTGCCTAGTCACTTGGCTAATAATCTGATATGCGCCCCTCTTCATCAGTTTTTGAGTGAGCTGAAGGACCACTTTGCTGGCGAGGCTCTTTTTAAACCCACTGCCATATTTATATCTCAGTGATGATTATTTTTATTTATTGTTGCGCTCTTTCTTGCCTTGCCTTTCTATTCGGGTCTTGGGAGACATACGCCTTTTGGCAACAGTTTGTTTTTAAACGTTTATGTTCTCCTGGGCAGCCCGCTGTGTCTTGTGATTGTGTTGTTGTATGTTTAATTGCCCAAATAATTATTATTATTAGCTCTTCATTCTTACTGTTAACCCCTTCACTCTGGGAGTCATCAACAGCCGCGGCTTTGTCTGATGATTAGTGCATACCACACATACATTCTATTTATCATCCATCTGCGGTTTCAATGAGGCCTGCTGCTGGACAGAGCTTAGCATACTGGGCATACCAAAGCCCGGTAGTCACAGTCAAAAGAATCTTTGTGTTAAGGGGTTAAGATGAGTGATTTGAAATCTAATTTACTGATGTTGTTGGGGGTCTGTGCCATGGAAACTTGACTTCACCAGCAATGGAAAGGTTTCTCGGCAACATTTCAGCTATACAGCATTAGTGCTCTTTTTCTCTGAAGACAATGCACCTTAATTGTGAGCTGTGGCAGAATCGTGACTTACGGCAGTCATTTTCATCCGAGTTATCTCTGCAATCGTTGTCAAAGTCGCAACGGTAGGAAGATGGGACACAGCGTCCATTATTGCACTGGAATTCTGATGACTCACAAGTATGATCAACTGCCAACCAAAGCGAAAATAGAAATTGTAAGTGAAGCAGTTTCACACTCCAGCTTCCTCAAGTGCTTCCTTCTACAAATTTTTACTATAACTTTAAAGTGTGACTTAATGCATTCTTCGAATTGCTTCACTGGCATGTGTATGTAAACACTGCACTAAATCACTACCCTGCCAAAGAAAACGGCTTTGTCGGAATCTTGTGTCCGGAGCTGTGGCTAGATCTTCACCTCTGGCAAATGTGTAGAAATGTGCTGCCCACACTCATATCTGTATGCTCTGGAAATCTGACAAGTGGCAGCTGATACTTTAGCATACAACATGCACTAATGCGAAGAAATGATGTGACAAAGCAAACGAAATGCACACTGAATTGATGTCCAAAGCCTGACAAGATTAACCAGCATAGCACGGAAGATAACTGCCAAGGGTCCATTTTACGATATAGATGAAATGTGACACGCTCTTGTGAAACTGGACAACTGGAGCTATTAGAAGAGACTGGCAGAGTTGTGAATTCTCTTTACTGTGCTGTGTCCCCTGAAGAAATGTGTACCTCATTTTAAAAATTCCACATTTTTTATTTCTCAGATGATGCAATCTCTACTAACACTGAGAAACAGTATTTAGGCTTTCATCAGAAGTGAAACATTTTCACATCAAATCGTTATCTTTTGCATTCCAAACACAATCTTTAAAAAGGGGGAAAGAACACTGTAGTGATTTTTCCTTTTGTGGTCTTGTGTCTTTTAAATTCCTGTTTTGTCTTTTAGTTTTATAAGTTGTCCAGTTCTGACATTTGAAAATGGTTTACACACATTAAGAAAGAAATTGTTCCTGGCACAACTTACAGCAGAAATAAGGTGCTTCGTCTGATGAATCTCCACAGTCACTGTCCAAGTCACAAGCCCAGCTGATGGGAATACAGGACCCATCAGCACAGGTAAACTCAGTCGTTCCACTACAAGTTGCATTGGTAGCTAGGGGAGGAAGTCAAGTCACTCAAATCGTGAGCTTGGATTTGAGGATACAACAATAATATTGAGGACCACAATGGAAAGAAGCTTTTTTCCCTTAGATTCTGGGTGTTATCAGTGACAATGCCTCGGATTCACATTGTATCTTGTCTTGTTTACTCCCGACCTCAGCTTGCTTTTATCTTGGTCTCTAAATATGCTACTTGGTTTTACTTGTCTATGTATCCTTGGAGATTGTCAAAGAAAACTAACAAATTCATTTGTGCCCTATTCCTAGTTTTATAGAACGTTCTAATCGACCCACATGACCTGACATATCAAAGACAGCCATATCATGGACGATATTTATGTGTACATGTAGGTAGTGGGCAAGTATTCAAAGTATGACAAAAAACATGGAACCAGCACCCAACACTGGATCAGCATGATATTGGCAACTGTACATGGCATGAGTCCTGACCATTATACCCCTTTGACAAAGAATTCTCAGTTACTGAGTCCAAAGCAACCTCACTGTTTAGTTTACGATATATACCATGTCTATTGCTGATCAAATGCTTGCAGGCTATGGTGGCTGATCTCAAGGAAACTGTGCGGTCAAAAGGAATGTTGACATCTTTTGTTCAGAACCCTTGCACAGGACCGTCTGGAATACATTTTTAAAATTTGGACTGCTTGGAACTCTAAAAGCAGAATCAAGCCCTGTGTAAAGTAATGGAGTGCAGAGTTTACATGTACATGTACCTTCTCTAATCCCATGGAATCTCCCCTACCCCGACATCCCTCCTGGACAGATACGGGAAGACCGAGGATGGTTTAATAGCACAGGAGAGATTGGGAGGATGAAGAGAAAATCCACAAACTTCCAGCACACAGGTTGGAATAATAACAATAAAATATTGAAGCTTTTCTAGGCTTTTAACAGCTAACGAGGCGGTTCTCTCTAAAATGGCTATAATTACAAAAATTCTACAAATGACTGTTGGCCTTCTAATAATCCCAAATTCTGGGGGTAAAAAATCCAGAGATCTGGAAACAATCCTGAGAAATCACAAAATCCTCAGGGCAGGGATGGTGGACACAAATGGTTCAGGTTGAAGGACACTTGATTCTGAAAAGACAGTGCAAAGGCCATGGCGATACTTACGCACACAGACACGCCCATCATTGCCAATTATGAGGTCATCTGGGCACGTGCAGCGCACACTTCCATCCACTGTCCCCATGCAGCCATGGCTGCAACCTCCATTCTGGACGTTACAGGGAGTGCTGGTGCCTGTACAGACAATAAAAAAAATGGAACCCAAATAGCATCATATCAAACTTCCAAACTCTACAATTTTGGAATACTGGGAGGTTCCAGTGTCAGCTGCACAAATACATTTTTTACATCACTGCATCAAGAAAATGAAAATATCAGCTTATTCCAGTGAAAAAGTGCTTTTCAACAATTCACAGAACCACATTTGTTTTTGGAAGGCACTTGCTCTGACTGTTGTAGCAAACATCACTTCTTGGCGATGAGGTAGATTGCTGCAAAATATAAGATCAAGGTATGAAGTAGTTCAAATGATTCCCAGCAAGCGGTGCTTGGCTGAATACATACATGGACCCAAACCCCTAGGAGCTATGCAAAATCATACTGAAATCAAAGGATTTGGGACTGTTAGGGCTATCAGTTGGCCACTGTATCAGTTGTCAAAAGTCAACATTTTTGGCCCCAATACCAACTGCAGTGGTTGAAAACCATCATCTATCCTGAGTTAAGGTAAACGCACATGCCTTACAAGTTTTAATTTTGTTGGTGACATTCTTTAGACTCGGATGCCTCCTATGTCCTGCTTAAATCTAGTGCACTGCGAGTTTAATGGCATTTTTTAACCAAATTGGGGTTACAAAACCATAAATATTCAATCCTTAAAAAGTATCGCGACCCTATGGTCATTCAAAAGTTCTTCTGTAGACACACAATACATGCACATCTACTCCTATCCACACTGCCAACTCTCCCCCTCAAAAGCACTTTCCATTTCCCTTCAAACTAGCCATGCCTGACTGCCAAGCGACTAGTAACAAAGATACATCCTTGAACTTTTCCTACACGTGTCACTACACATGTGGTATCAAACCCTAGAGCTGGCAAAAGTACATGTACCAGAAATAAACCAGAAAGTAGGCATGGATACCCCCACCCCTGTGGCAAAAAAGTCTGGCTACACAACTCTAAGTTTGGTACACCCAAACTCAGTGGATCAAATCAGCAAACTTCCTCTGTACGGTGCATGCACACACACGAGGGAAAAAAATGAAAGAAAAAATGACAACGGCGATAAATCTGCTGTGAAATTGGTTTGGAAAGGATATGCAGGGAAGCCAGGTGCAATAGCAGGCTGAACTTTAATGCTAAACTAGAACTTTTTTTGTGGGCCCACAAGTCATGATTTTCGCAGCCAACTACAGCTCAGGGCAGCGGGTTAGCGTAGCGGTTCTTTCCTCGCTTTGCACCAATGAGGCCCGGGTTCGAGTCCCAGTTTGGCCCAGGCTTTAAGTGCATTTGGTTTCCAGTCCATATTCGCTCTTATAGGTTTTCTCCAGGTCCTCCAGTTTCCTCCTGCCTCTAAAACTGGACTTTCTTCCTAACTCCCTAATGTGATGCTGCTAATACCGGTTATAAATAAACATATGCATTGTAGTTATTGGTGCCAATAGCCTGAGTAGCTGAAAGCACCATAAAAAACCAAACAACTACAGCTCCGCCTCTGCAGCTCTTCTAAAATTTTGCATTCACCTCAATGCAGCGATCTTTGGTTTGAAATTCTTACCAGAAGTTTAAAACTTAATTTCTCAGGTTAAGGGGAAGGGGGCTAAAACTCCACAGAACTTCATTTCAAAAGTAGGCAGATTTCTTTCATCACTAGTTTTAATGCTCTTAAAAGTTCCATGCTATTTGTGCATGTGACACTGTTGCACTGCTCCTGAATATTACAAAATCTAATCCAGAAATCAATTATGCCACCAATATTCAAGGGCACATGTAATATATCACCCCCTTTAATCTGCTTTACAAAATACAGGTTACTGTAACACCCCTGTTGTGAAAATTCTTTTTTTTAAGGTTTAAAAAACCCAGATTTTGGTACATGTAACTATTGAGGACGTTACCAAATATGCAGAAGCTGGAAAAAAATGTGCACCTTAGTTTGATATTTTTGTTGACGAAGGGTGCAGATCTCGGCACTATTTTTTATACCTTTTCAGAAATACACAGAGAAAGAAAAGTTTTGTTTATGGTACCCAGATCAGAGGCAAATTATGATTTATTTGAAAGAATAAAATCTATGCCTCACTCTAATTTGAAATTAAATTTCAAAGTTTTTGAAAAGGGGAAAGACAGAGAGGAAGTTGTTGGAAGTCGCGATCTGGCGAATAACAGATATTTTTTTCTCAGACCACTTCATCAAACTAAAGCAATACACACAAACCAAATTGTCTCTCATTCAAGAGACACCAACAGGCAGATTTTTCAGAAGTAGGGCACTACTGATACCCCATAAAATGAAGTTTGCGTAAGTGTGCGAATTGTGGTAATTTAAGTTTTACTACAGTCGATTCAGCTTGTCCGCAGACAACAGTGTTCCTGTCACTTCCGTGACATCCAGTTTCTCCAAAATATTATTCCATCTGTAAGTTTTGAGTCAAAGTTTCAACAAGAAAAAGTGAAGTCATAAAAAATTTGGTTCAGAACAAATGTTGATCAAAGGTTTCATACATGTACTGAGTGTGCAAATAATGAGCTTGTGGATAACCCTATTTCTGGCCCCTCGACTCAAGGTCTTCACTAAAACCAGGTCTGAATGATCTATTTGGTTAAGGCCAGTCATTATGCTTATGCTTCAAAGAGTTTCAGGTATATGTGAACTTTCAAGCACTGAATATCAATTCATTGTAAAAAAAAATTGAAAAACTTGTTTTTACAGAGTATAAACTATGACAATAAAGGTGCATGCATCAGTTGGTAACAAGTGAATAAACAGGCACGGGCTAATTGAGGGCCTATCTGGCAGAAAATATGAGTGAAATCAAATCAGTCTCACTGAAAACAACCCTGTTAATCGGGGGTACTTTTTACATACCCTTGTGCAAGGGATGAAAAAATATACAAGAGAAGTTAATAAATTTGCATTAATTCTTCATAGTACCATTGACTCTCATTATAACAAAGTTGCAGGGACCAGACAAATTACTTTGTTATGAGCATGGACTCAACTGAAATCTTGTGCCAAGTGCATGCATACAACGGATCTGCAAGAAAGTCAAATATGGGCTGGGACTGAACTATTGCATGGGAAAAGTTCATGGATCAGTTGCTCAGGTGAAGTGCTCGTGCATAGCATAGCCAAAAATATGCTACATGTATGTGCACATGCACTTCACACGATTAGATAAGTTTCCCTTGCTCTTTAAATTTGGATGGAACTGAATATGTCTATGTATGGTAAAACAATGTAACATGGGTATTTTGCCTCTGGAACACATTTGTTAACTTCCAATACCAAGGGGAGCCAAACTTGACAATCTACCCACAAACCATGTTGAAATGTCACTGTGTGTAAATCCTGTACTACAAAATGTTATTAGAAATTGAGTAACTGAAAAATTTGTTTGTTCAGAATAATCAGCTGGTAATCGGCAATACTGAGGACTACGTATTTGTGCCTGATAATCAGCGGTTTCTGCTCACTAAAAAGTGCCCATGACTAAAATAATCTTGACTCTCTCCAGGACAAGGTGATACGAGTCATTCTCTGCCTTTCTGTGCAATGGCCTGCTCAAAGTTGAGACCGTGATATTTTTCAAAGAATTCCAATTGTTTTTATAAACAAAAATATTTGAAAGGCACATGTTGGTTGCCATGGAGTCTTTGAAGTCCAAGTCTGTATTAGACTCAACTGTTGTAAAGCCTATTATCGAGGAACTCCATGAAACTAAGGAACCATGGAACGAAGAAATATATATAAAAAAATCCCCAGAACTGAATGGACTGTTGATCTCTGCTAAAGTCCAATGAAAGCTTACACTGTGGGTCATTTGTGGGATATCATATACCAGTGTTGTAGTGTTGTAGGTCTCGAGACCTTGTCTCGGTCTCGAGATCATCTCCAGACCTTTTTTTGCAGTCTCGGTCTTGCCCTGTCAAAGTCTCAGTCTTGGGAGGGCTGGTCTCGGAAGCCATAGTCTCGGTTCTCCCCCTCGAGACCAGTCGAGACCATAACAAAATGCGCATCTACCTACCATGCATGCACGCAGTTGCAAAAGGCAAAATTACCTCTGTTTGAGTCAAATCTGCAACCACTGATATAAATACAGCACAGTAATCTTCAGATTTCTTGCAATAAACGATGAAATCAATGCTGGAATGAAGACTAGTCAATGCAGCATGATGCAAGCTTGTCCCCAAGTTGTTACTTTATTTCCAATCCAGAGTAGCCATGCTGCTTGACACCATGGAGATGAGGTTTTGAGTAGCAGAATTCGCACACTGGACTGGTTCCTATTCCCTACGTAGTCTCCTGCTGAACATAGGGCCAGGACGGGAACCAGTATGTTTGTGTGCACACGCTATAAATTGTGTGCATGTGTGAAAGTGCTTTCATTCCGTCTTGTATGTGTTATGTGTTGTTTTAGCAGTTTTGTTATGGTACATCTTTTTTGGATATTTGTTTTTCAGTATTTTGCTTACAAAAAACAGTCTAAGGATATTTGCTTTAATGTTCACGTCATATCATTTGGGACACTCGGGTTGAAAATGACCAGACCAGGGTAAAAGTAGAGCAGTATCACTGATAAAAGAACTGAGACATTCTTTAACAAATATTTGACCTATTTGCGAGTGTGTATTTATGCTAATGTTTTTTATTTCCTTAGTGCTGAATTGTACTGCCATATGTTTGTCCCTATTGACCTTTTGGTAAAAACTAAATGTTGGTCTGTGGTTGGTCATGGTCTCGGTCTCTGTCGTGGTCTCAGTGTTGGTCTTGACCTGCAAAAGTCTTGGTCTTTATGCCTTGGTCTTGGTCTCAGTCTTGTATGCCTTGGTCTCTGTCTCAGGCATCAAGGTCTCGGATACAACACTGTCATATACATGTACATGTACTTTTTTTCAGAGCGGGCTACACTTACAATAGTTATACCTCAGCATACTGAACACAGGAAAGATTGTGATGTGGAACTTTGACACCACAACACAGCACAAGTCTCGGTGGGGGAGTATTAAGC